TAGAGAAAAGTGATGGGGCTTTATTTTTTAAACTTTTTTCTTTTACTTCGCTGAAAATGAAAATACTAACGTTCACTATAGCTTTGTGTGAAAACAGGTTATTTCTGCACTGCTGAAAACACAGGATTATTAAAGTGTTTTTGGTAGCCTGGGTCAGTGAGGAAATGGCTTGTTTAAGGCTTAGAAAACAAACCAAAAGAAGAATCCTATCCAAAACAAAAACACACAAGAAAGTACACATTGACCTTGAAATCTGGCTTGCATTTGGACAGCTCCCTGATTATACTCTAGGGATTTTGGTTTTTTGTTCTGCAGGGCCATAGGAGAGGCAATCGTAGGCATCAGTAATTTATTATACTGGGCCAAAGTAGCAATTGGAAAAACAAAGAACTCTTGCTTAAAATTACTCATTTCCACTAAAAATGACTTTCGTTGCTGGGATTGCTAGGTATCAAGAACAAATAGTTCACTGAAGAGTTTCTCCTCATCTCTGTACTTTGGAGTGACACAGGAGCTGGCAATATATACAAAGCATCCACTAGTTACTTCCATTAAAAAATATGATCACCACACGTTTTATCTCCATGTGAAGGCTCATAAGAGACTCTCAAACCATCTTTGTGAATAAGAAAATGGGGTAATTAGAACTAGTTAGTAGTTCATTTGGAGAATTTTTTTTTTTTTTTTGAGACAGAATTTGCCCAGGCTGGAGTGCAATGGTGCGATCATGGCTCACTGTAACCTCTGCCTCCCAGGTTCAAGCGATTCTCCTGCCTCAGTCTCCCAAGTAGCTGGGATTACAGGCGTGTGCCACCACAAGTGGCTAACTTTGTATTTTGATTAGAGATGGGGTGTCTCCATGTTGGTAAGGCTGGTCTCGAACTCCCTACCTCAGGTGATCTGCCTGCCTCGGCCACCCAAAGTGCTGGGATTACAGGTATGAGCCACTGCACCCAGTCCCATTTGGATAAATTTCTAATTAGATCTAAGAACTTTAAATTTGGGCCGGGTGCTGTGGCTCAGGCCTGTAATCCCAGCACTTTGGGAGGCCAAGATGGGCAGATCACGAGGTCAACAGATCGAGCCCATCCTGGTCAACATGGTGAAACCCTGTCTCTAATAAAAATACAAAAATTATCTGGGCGTGGTGGCACTAGCCTGTAGTGCCAGCTACTCGGGAGGCCGAGGCAGGAGAATTGCTTGAACCCGGGAGGCGGAGGTCACGGTGTGCCAAAATCGCGCCATTGCATTCCAGCCTGAGAAACAAGAGCAAAGCTCCATCTCAAAAAAAAAAAAAAAAAAAAAAAAAAAAAAAATAGCCAGGCGTGGTGCTGCAGGTCTGCCATCCCAGCTATTCAGGACGCTGAGGTAGGAGGATCACTTGAGCCTGGGAAGTCGAGGTACCAGTGAGCTATGATTGTGCCACTGCACTCCAGCCTGGGAGACAGAGTGACACTCTGTCTCAAAAAAAAAAAAAAAAAAAAAAGGAAAGAAAAAAACCTTATTTACTCATAAAAAAGCCTATGGGTCAGGTGCAGTGGCTCACACCTGTAATCCTGTAATCCCAGCACTTTGGAAGTCTGAGATGGAAGAATCACTTGAGCCCAGGAATTTAAGATCAGTCTGGGCAACAAAGGGAGAACCTGACTCTACAAAAAAAAAAAAAAAAAAATTAAAAATTAGCCAGGCATGTTGGTGTGTGCCTGTAATCCCTGCTACTTAGGAGGCTGAGATGGGAGGAGTACCACATGAGCCCAGGAGTTGGAGGTTGTAGTGAGCTATGACTGTACCACTGCACTCCAGCCTGGGTGACAGCAAATCTATCCCCCGCCCCCAACGTCCTTGCTTAAAAAAAAAAGCCAATGAGGCTCATAATATTCCTTCTACAATTTATGAAGGATGAAACAAATGAAGGCACAGAAATTTACTCCCACTAAGAAATGTATAACTCTTTTTTTTTTTTTTTTTTCTTGGAGTCGGGGTTTCGCTCTTGTTGCCCAGGCTGGAGTGCAATGGCGCGATCTCGGCTCACCGCAACCTCCACCTCCTGGGTTCAGGCAATTCTCCTGCCTCAGCCTCCTGAGTAGCTGGGACTACAGGCACGCGCCACCATGCCCAGCTAATTTTTTGTAGTTTTTTAATAGAGACAGGGTTTCACCATATTGACCAGGATGGTCTCGATCTCTTGACCTCGTGATCCACCCGCCTCGGCCTCCCAAAGTGCTGGGATTACAGGCTTGAGCCACGGCGCCCGGCCTAGAAATGTATAACTCTTAAATGAAAGTTGCCAGGAATTAAAAAAAGAAAACAAGAAATGTATAACTCAGCGTTCATCGTATTTGTAAATGGCACCATTCAGCTGATCAAGCCCAAAATACAGAAAACATCCTTCCTTTTTTTTTTTTTTTTGAGACAGTCTTGCCAGGCTGGAGCGCAGTAGCCCAATCTCGGCTCACTGCAACCTCCGCGTCCTGAGTTCAAGCGATTCTGCCTCCTCAGCCTCCTGAGTAGCTGGGACCACCGGCGCCTGCAACCGCACCCGGCTAATTTTTTGTGTTTTCAGTAGAGACGGGGTTTCACCATGCTGGCCAGAATAGTCTGGATCTTGACCTCCCGATCTTGACCTCTTGACCTCGTGATCCTCAGGTCTCTGCGAGGGCTTTGCGCCACCGCGCCCGGCCCTTTTTTCCTTTTTTTTTTTTTTTTTTTTTAAAAAAAACACCTTTATGGTTTGTTGGACTTGAACATCCTTCTTTCCCTTCATCCTGTAACCGAGCCCAGACTGTTCTGCTCATGGTATGACAGCCAATGGGTCAAGAGTCAAGGAGTTAGAGCAAGGACAGCAACTTTATTTCTGAGAGCTAGCAAACCGGGAAAATTGCAGAATAATATCCTAAAGAATCAGGCTGGCTTGCAGTGACACGATCTCGGCTCACTGCAACCTCCGGCTCACTGCAACCTCCGGCTCACTGCAACCTCCGGCTCACTGCAACCTCCGGCTCCCGGGTTTAAGTGATTCTCCTGTCTCAGCTTTCCAAGAAACTAGGACTACAGGTGAACACCACCAGACCCAGCTAATTTTTGCATTTTTAGTAGAGAAGGGGTTTCTTTATGTTGGTTAGCCTGGTCTTGAACTTCTGACCTCAGGTGATCCACCTGTCCTGGCCTCCCCAAAATGCTGGGATTACAGGTGTGAGCCACTGCGCCCGGCCTAAAGAACCATCTTTAGCCAGTACACATTTCAGGCTCTTTTAGTGTTAAGGGCAGGGGGAGCGAGAGGGGTGGTGACATTTAGGCGCCAGGGAGCGTTCCCGGAGGCCTGAAGCCTTTCTGTTATCGGTCAGGTCACAACAATCCCACAAACTCTCAATGTTGTTACTTGTGTGTACACCTTCCTTATCTCCTTGGGGGTTAGTTTTGGGAAGGAACTATTATCATCCTTGCTTTAAACTATAAATTCCTCCCATAGTTAGTTTGGTCTATGTGCAGAGATAAGCAAAAGCAGTTAACCTAGATATCACCGAGGGATGGGAGTGGGGAGTTTAGGAGCAAAATGGAGTTAGTCATGCTAGGCCTACTTTTCAATGTTACAATTCCACATTATTGAGTTATTTCAATATTTCCAAATATATTCATTTTTTTCTTTTCTTTTTTCTTTTTCTTTCTTTCTTTTTTTTTTTTTTAGAGTCTCGCGCTGTCACCCAGAGGCTGGAGTGCAGTGGCGCGATCTCGGCTCACTGTAACCTTCACCTCCCGGATTCAAGCGATTCTCCTGCTTCAGCCTCCCGAGGAGCTGAGATTACAGGCATGCGCCACCACACCTGGCTAATTTTTGTGGTTTTAGTAGGGACGGAGTTTCACAATGTTGGCCAGGCTGGTCTTGACCTCCTGACCTCATGTGATCCGCCCGTCTCAGCCTTCCAAAGTGCTGGAATTACAGGCATGAGCCACAGCGCCCTGTGTGTTTGTTTGTTTCGCGTTATTTTTTTTTTTAAGACAGAGTCTTGGTCAGTCGCCTCGTGCTGGAGTGCAACGGCGCGATCTCGGCTCCCTGCAACCTCCGCTTCCCAGGTTCAAACGATTCTCCTGCCTCAGCCTCCCGAGCGGCTGGGATTACAGGCGTGTGCCACCACACCCAGCTGTTTTTAGTAGAGACGGGGTTTCTCCATGTTGTCCAGGCTGTTCTAGAACTTCTGGCCACAAGAGACCTTCCCGCCTCGACCTCTCAAAATTCAGGGATTATAGGCGTGAGCCACCGCGCCCAGTCCACCATGCCTGTTGGCATTACATCTGATAATACATATGGAGCACTGCATGTGAAGTATACAAAGGACTATGCTGAGTGTTTAAGAAATCAGTCAATATTATTCTTATGTTCATAAATTTAACTGATGAAATGACAACGGCGAGATCTCGATCCTCAACTATAAGGGAGTTGGAAACTGAGGCAAGGACGGGGTCAGGCGTGGTTTACAATACTGCTCAAATTGTTGAGATAACCGGCCGCGCCCCTTATTCAGATCGACCGTCCTCAGCTGATCGCCGGCGCGAGCCAGCCTAGGCTCCCGGAAGGTAAACACATCGCCAAGGGCGGGGCAGAAGGCTGGTGTGAGACGAGCGAGTGGCCACTTAAAACTGATTGGCAGCTGCCATGTCCACGTGCTCTGAGCTTCGAACCAGCTGTCGCGAGAATTCGATGTAAACAGAGCAGTTTCCCTGTCCTTCGGCTCTAACTTGAGACGCTCGCGTGAGCGGGACAGGAGTCTGGGGCATGTTGCTTTTCTTTTCAAAGCCACGAAGGTTCTGTCTTCCAAAAAAATGTACACGTTCATAATTATTCCCCAGCTGCCTGCGTTCGCAACCGAACCTAACACGTCGGCTTCACCCGAACTTACATGCTGTTGTGTTTTCCTTCCAACCCCAGCGGATTGGACACATTCAGGAGGCGGGTCTGCCTCTTTCCTACTTGCTGGTTGGCGAAGCTGACCTCCAAGGGCGGTGCCCGGCCGTAGACAGTTTTCTTCTGGGATTGGCTAGAGCCGTGGTTCCGCTCAGGTGTGGTAGGAAGTGGCAGCCGTCAATCACGGGAGGAGACTCCAAACAGTGAGCCTAGAGCTGGAGAGCAGCGTTAACCGGCGGGGCGGCCGGTGAGAGGGCTGGCGGGGCTTCGGCTTTGGGGAGGCTTGGGGAGGACTAGGGACCGGCGGCGTGAGGGACTGGGTCGGGATGGCAGGAATTTGACAGGAGAGTGGTGTCGATACTGGAGGGGGAGGGGAGCAGTGCAAGGGGCCGGAGGGCGGCCGGGGGCAGCGGTGGCTCCGTGTTGAGGTTAAGTGGGCAGCGCCGTGCGAGTGCCTTTCAGGAGACTGGGGCCTGAGCGGCTGACGAGGGTCGTCCCCAGGAGACAGGGCCCTTAAAGGACAGGGCTTGGGAGACTGTGGTTCGAGAAAGCAATAAAGGGGTGAAAATGAGAGGGCTGAGGGGCTGGAAGTGCAGGTACCCCCTGAGGAAGTGGTGGCTGTGCTAGCTGGGGCAGAGGGTGTTTTGGTTGTAGGAGGTGGGGCGCACAGGTTGGGAGTTTTCTCATCAGCTGTGAATGCTCCCTACTTAGAAATGATGGTTTTAGGTGCCTTCAAGATGAGTTCCAGGCTGTGGGCTTTCCTGAGCCCTCTAAGAGATCTTTGCTGTTGCTGTCAGTCCTCTTTTAACCTTACCCAAGCCGACTCCATGCTCTTAAAATCTCAGTGATTCAGAGGCTCATGAAACATTCTAGGATCAGGATTTACTGATGTGACGGGAAAGCGTAAAGGGCTGTAACAACATTTATGTGTATATTACTTATTTGACTGCTTACTACTAGTCGAATACTTATTTGACTTATTTGTTGCTTATTAAACTCCGGTGATTAGGTAACCCCCCAGTAGCGGGGGGTTACAAATTGATTTAAACTGTGGCCACGCAGTCTTTACTCATAGATTCTCAACAGGTTTAATTGGAAGGTAGAGTGGTACCATGTCACTTGTTCCGTTTGGTCTTGAAATACTGTACCATGTGTATTTTCACTATCTCAACATAAAATTTCAGTAAATTCCTATCTCATGATTTGGTTCTCTTACCTTTGTAATTTATGTTAACAATAGACCAAAGGGTACAGCAAGAGTCTTCCTTAAATTGCTTTGTGGTTCTGAGGCCTGGTCCTATTAAAAAACAAAACAGGACGGGGACGGTGGCTCACTCCTGTAATTTCAGCATTTTGGGAAGCTAAGGCAGATGGATCACTTGAGCTCAGGAGTTCGAGACCAGCCTCGGCAACATGGCAAAACGCTGTCTTTACAAAAAAATATAAAATTTAGCCGGGCATGGTGGCGGGCACCTGTAATCCCAGCTGCTCGGGAGGCTGAGGCATGAGAATTGCTTGAGCCTGGTAGGCGGAAGTTGCAGTGAGCAGAGCTCCTGCCACTGCACTCCACCGTGGGCGACAGAGTGAGACTCCATCTCATTACCCCAACCCCCTCATTTTAATTTGAAAGAAATTAAAAATCTACCTTCTCTTTTTTTGCCTTTCTGGTATAACAGGAATTTCTGGGAAAGTTTCCTATATTTGAAGCTTTTTTTTTTTTTTTTTTTTTTTTAAGACGGAGTTTCACTCTTGTTACCCAGGCTGGAGTGCAATGGCGCAATCTCGGCTCACTGCAACCTCCGCGTCCTGGGTTCAGGCAATTCTCCTGCCTCAGCCTCCTGAGTAGCTGGGATTATAGGCATGCGCCACCATGCCCAGCTGATTTTTTGTATTTTTAGTAGAGACGGGGTTTCACCATGTTGACCAGAATGGTCTCGATTTCTTAACCTCGTGATCCACCCGCCTCGGCCTCCCAAAGTACTGGGATTACAGGCGTGAGCCACCACGCCCGGCCTTTGAAGCATTTTTGACAAGGGATCTATAGTGAGCAATTACAAATCTTCCTCCCTGCCCAAACAATGATCCATGTCTTTCTTTCTTTCTTTCTTTTTTTTTTTTTTTGTTGTTCTGGAAACAGGTTTTATGAGTGAAGCTATGGCTACAGATTCCCCAAGAAGACCCAGTCGTTGTACTGGTGGAGTTGTGGTTCGCCCCCAGGCTGTCACGTAAGCACACTTCAGATAACCCAATAGCTGAAGAAAAGACTCAGTATAGTAACTAGCATTCAGGTTTTCTTTATGAACAGTGATAACTTTTGTAAAAACCTTTTAAATGTTGGCTTTATGGGATGAATAATTATTTCTAAGGCCAAATGAAGAATTGGAGAGTTAAGTTGATGTATTCAGCACATTTACAGAGTACATGAAGAGCACTATGCTAAATCCTGAAGAGCAGTGTTTTCTAACTCCAAGTTTAACAAATTAATGGATCAGTAAATCAGTTTAGTGGGTCAGTACTAGTATTAGAAAATGAAATAGAATATAATAGAATATATAGCTGAGAATTCATACTGTTCCATGACATGCACACAGATGTGTTCATATGTATGAATGTATTTACCAGATGGTGATGTAAAATGTATCTCTTTTAAGTTCAAGGGTACCTGTACAGGTTTGTTAAATAGGGAAACTCATGTCATAGTGGTTTTTTATGGAGACTATTTCATCATCCAGGTGTTAAGCGTAGTCCCTATTAGTTATTTTTCCTGATCCTCTCCCCACTTCCACCCTCCACCCTCTCATAGGCCCCAGTGTGTGTTGTTCCTGTCTGTGTATCCATGTGTTTTCTGTAAAAGGTATCTCTTAGTCTAGGTCTCTGCCAGAAAGTTTCAAAGTAGGTGTCATAGTACATTTCCATGATTTTGACATTTTTTTTTTTTTTTTTTTTAAAACCATCAGAGTGGTTGGCATTCGTCATCACTCTCAGATGTTCCTACCAACAGAGGCTTCATCAGAGGCAGGGCACAAGAGCCGAGGCTTCTCCGCAATTCTACCGGAACCATATAGTCGCAGCTTAGATCATGCCTACCAAATGTGCAATCCCCGAACATCCTTGGCTTGTGGGCCCTGACAAGAGCCACCTCCTACCTCGAAAGCAATTTTGGCATTCTTTGACAAAGAATGTCTATACCTACTTGGAATTTATAATCTAATATGGCTTGAAGATATATATGTATTTTTTTTTTTTTTTTTTTTTGAGATGGAATCTCACTCTGTCACCCAGGCTGGATTGCAGTGGCGCCATCTCAGCTCACTGCAGCGTCTGTCTCCTCCTCCACCTCCCAGATTCAAGCTATTTTCCTGCCTTAGCCTCCCAGGTAGCAAGGATTACGGGCATGCGCCACCACCCCTGGCCAATTTTTGTATTTTTAGCAGAGACGGGGTTTTGCCACGTTGGCCAGCCTGGTCTTGAACTTCTGACCTCAGGTGATATGCCTGCCTCGGTCTCCCAAAGTGCTAGGATTCCAGGTGTAAGTCACCGTGCCTGGCCAAGGATATGTATATTTGAAGACTGAGGTGGGAGGATTGCTTGAACCCAGGAGTTTGGCACCAGCCTCAACAACATACTGAGACCCTTATGTCTTAAAAAAATAAAAAAAATTAGCCAGGCGTTGTGGCAGGCACCTGCAGCCTTAGCTACTCAGGAGGTTGAGATGGGATGATCACCTGAGCCCAGGAGCTTGAGGCTGTGGTAAGCTGTGATTGTGCCATTATACTACAGCCTTAGTGAGAGAGTGAGACCATGTCTCAAAAAATATGTGTATATAATATGTTTAATATATATTATATACTTTCTTTTTCTTTTATTAAGATGGAGTCTTGCTCCATTGCCCAGGGTGGAGTGCAGTGGCACAATCTCAGCTCACTGCAAGCTCTGCCTTCTGGGTTCAAATGATTCTCTTGCCTCAGCCTCCCAAGTAGCTGGGATTACAAATGTGGATCTCCATGCCTGGCTAATTTTTGTATTTTTGATAGAAACGGGGTTTCACCAAATTGGCCAGGCTGAAGTAAGCAAGTAAATAAGTAAAATAATTTCAGGCTATGATTGTGCACAGTGAACTACAATAGATAATGACAAAGGAGAATATATATAAGGCTATCAGGGAAGGTCTCTCAGAGGAGGCAACACTTCACATGGAGATCTAAAAGGAACGGAAGGGTACAGGAAGGAATCCAGATAGAAAGAAAGTTGGTATAAAGGTCTCCATTCAAAGAAGAACTTAGTGTTTACTAGGAATCGAAGTTGCATATGGCTGAAGCAGAGTAAGGAGAGTGACAAAAAATGCGGTTGGAGAGGTGACCTAATAATTTTTTTTTAGGCCTAATCTATTTTTCTAGGTCTCTAGGACATGCTGCTTTTTAAATAGGATTTATGATAAATCACTATTTTCAAGTTTGATTTTTCACATGCCTCTTGAAATGGATTTGAATTGGTATTTTGATTTCTTTTTGTTTTTCTTTGAGATGGAGTCTTGCTTTTTTGCCCAAGCTGGAGTACAATGGTGCGATCTTGACTCATTGCAGCCTCCACGCCTGGGTTCAGTGATTCTCCAGCTTCAGCCCCCTGAGCAGCTGGGATTACAGGCGTGCACCACCAAGCCCAGCTAATTTTTGTATATTTAGTAGAGATGGGGTTTCACCATATTGGCCAGGTTGGTCTTGAACTCCTGACCTCAAGTGACCTACCCACCTTGGCCTCCTATAGTGCTGGGATTATAGGCATGAGCACCACGCCTGGCCTGAAATAGTATTTTGAAGTATTTTTTCTCCACTTGCTGGAATTTATATGCTTTATATTTAAAATATATTCATTTAGTATCCTTATGTAGTGTTGTTTTTTCCCATTCACTTTGTTTGTTTTTTAGAGATGGGGTCTTGCTGTATTGCCTAGCCTGGCTGCCAACTCCTGGGTTCAAGTGATCTTCATGCCTCTGCTTCCTGAATAGCTGGAACTGCAGGCACATGCTACTGCACCCAGCTTTCCCTCATTTTTATGCATTTTAATTTTTTTCCATGTCTTTCCTATACCAAAATTCTGTGACAGCTTAGTAGCTTCTTCTAATATCTGTACCTGCTAGAAAATGCAGACTCACTTGCTATATACAGGTAAGGGACTAGGTTCATAACCAATTTAAAGAGAAGATCACTAGATAGTCATCAGCAACAATTTTACTTGCTCTAACTAGGGCATTCTTCTGCTCTGACTCAAGAGGAGGGTCCTGTCTTAGGTCTCTGTAGTCACTCCTTCAAATATGGCTTAGAAGTTATCTCTATCAAATTAGGAGATCATGACTTTTAAAAAGAGATAATGTTAAGAGATTCTACTCATGAAAAAAGAGAAAAAAAGATAAATAAAAAAGAGATAATGTTTAAAGATGTTAAAAGCTCATTTACATTTAACAACTTATATAAAGACCCATGAAACCAGAAAGTAGTTAGTTTAGCAGAAATATCAGCTGATAAGAGTTAGCCTCTTTTTTTTTTTTTTTCTCCTTTTTTGAATATTATGAGTGATGCCTGTAATCCCAGCACTTGGGAAGACCAAGGTGGGAGGATTGCTAGAGCTCAGGAGTTTGAGACCAGCCTGGGCACATAGTGAAACCCTATCTCTACAGAAAATAAAAAAATTGCTGAGCATGGTGGTGCATTCTACTTGGGAGCCTGAGGTAGGAGGATTGCTTAAGCCCAGGGGGTTGAGGCAGCAGTCAGCCGAGATTGCATCACTGCATTCCAACCTGGGTAACAGAGTAAGACCTGTCTCAAGGAGAAAAAAAAAAAAAAAAAAAAAAAAAGAAAAATGAGTTACTTTATTAAGGCTTGTAAATAGAGCTTTTTTTCATGGTCTATATTAAGCTCTCCTGACCAGCGCTGTCCATTCCACCCTTTTCCAGAGAGCAGTCCTACATGGAAAGTGTTGTGACTTTTCTACAGGATGTTGTGCCACAGGTAAGTGTCTATATGTGCCTTCAGAAATAGTAGGTTTTATCTTTGGTCAGGAGAACTCTGAAATGTTTGGTTTCCAAAACTTGACACTAGTACCAGCAACTTCAGAAAGGGTTTTGATGTTTTAGCATCCTGAGCATTGGTAGGATGGGACTATGTTATTGTTTAGATGTGCGGCAGTGTTGGGTTGACAGTGGCATAAAGATTATTCCTCAGGACTTTCCTAAGAAGAATCATGGTGAATTTTTAGTAGAGAGTTGAGACTTGAGACCCTCGTAGGTTTCTGTTTTCTTGTCCTATTTAAGGGTTGCCTCTCAGAAGGGAAAAAAGCAAGATACACTCTTCACTCCTTAACTAGACATTAGCTATATTGTACCTGAGCACAAATCTACTTCTTTTTATTTATTTATTTATTTTTTACTTTTTTTTTTTTTTTTTTAAATCGTCAAGTGCAGTGGTGAGAAGGGGGAAATCTACTTCTCTTTTATATTGAACAGTTTTTTTTTTTTTTTTTTTTTT